CCCTACTATATACTAAATCGCAGACGCTGTCGGCTCGGGCCTTCGTGCCTGTGGTGTTGCTCAACTCCTCGGCCAGCAAGAGAACTCAACCAGACTAGAGATGTAGAGTGATATATCTAACTATCTATCTATATATATATATATATATTAAACATATGAATATATATATATATATATATATATATACGGTAACGATTCTTCTACAACTGTGCGCTTGATATTGTGCACCGAAGGGAAACATTTAGATATCGCCAAGAACAAACTATCGCTGCATCTTCAAGCGGCTGGAGCCCTGGATCCGATGCATCTTGATCTCGACAGGCGTAGAGGACGGTAACACTAGGGTAAATCTTGTCTTCAGGCCTGCTCTCAAAACTATACAGTATGGCGTTTAAGCTTTCATGCCCTGGAACTCATGTTGATCTTGAAGGCATGAGAGGCGGCCAAGCACAACGGTGCACGACTATCAAAGGCAGAAAGAGAAGCACGGCGTGACAGCAGCAGTGACACCAGCATGAGCGTCATCAACCAGGGCGCTTCAGGCTTTTTACACAGATTATCAATAACCCCTGCCCCTCCATTCTGATCCCTCAAAACCTCATCCTCGTTACTGATCCTGCAGCTGCAAGCTTCATCTCAAAAATCTACGTTTGAGTTTAAGCCATGCTCCTGCAACCGCACCTCTGCTACCAGGCATGCTACATGAAGAAAGCTTCGTATCATTGATGCCACAGCAGCTAGCCTATGACATTCGAAAATCGTGTATGTGACGATCACGGGCGGAGTCACTGCCCCGTTGCTTCAACCATAACCGCTCAGCTGCTGCTCCCATTCAGATGGTCTCTCTACGCGTTCGCTGTTTAGTCCTGCAGATGCTTCTGACCGCTGACCCTTGCAGAAGTGAGAACTGTCGAACTATGGATCAAAAACCGTCTGCATTATTGATGACCATAAGATGAAGAGTACTGAGTTGTCCAAATAACGCATACTGTCAGTCATGATACTGATAACGCTACTGTCCTCTATGTCGGAGTCTTGGGGCATGCTATACGCTGGGTATGTCAGGACGATACTTTTGCGGGAACAGTAGCCTTGAACCAGTTTTATAGTTAGGATCCTATAAGGTAGCCCCAACAAGGAACTACAATGGAGACTATAGGTATTACTGATGGTCACAGCCGTGACTGCAGAAGGCTCAACCCGAAACCTGCAGGGCACCCGGGCCGCGAAGCGAAGGGGACCCAAGCGTTGGAGATGGCCAGGTTTGGCACCCTGGTTTTCTTTGGCTGGAAGCTCCGAATAGCGGGGGTGGTGGGTACCTGGAGGATCGTGGGACTTAGTAAGTCGTATGGTTATAAGTACCTTAATTGGGGTTATAAGTAGTTATAAGTATAGTTAAAACCCTAATTATAGCCCTGGTTACTAAGCCCCGTGATCCTTTAAGTAGTGGTGGCAGTAGCAGCATCATCAGTACAGCTGAAGCTGCTTCTAGCACGATTGTTGCTTGAGACGTGGGGTGAACCTCACAGTAAACACCAGTCGAATACCTATGGGCAAGCGAAGAATGCTCGAATTCGCGAAATGTTTGCGCAAGATGGCGTATAAATTGCACTGTTCTCGTCGGTCAAGACAGGGAGGACGATTCACCGCAGAACAGAGCCTCTTCCCAGAATAGCCGCATCTGCAAATCTTCCACGACGTCCTCTTCTGGCACACAACAGGCTCTGAAGGTATCGTGGCCGTGCTCGTTGAGACACATGTCGCAACCCCATGCAATCAAGTCCTCGAAATCTTCAGGCTTCTTGAAGCCTGGCATTGACATCCCGCGCTGGCATGCAGCTGGGAGATGTGCTCTCCAGTGAGCTGCTCAAAATCTCTCACAGACTAACCATCAACCCTGTTGAAGAAACCACCGAGTAGTTCAACAGTACAACATTTCAGTCACAGGACTGGGAAGAGGTAAATGGTGCTTTTTGCTTCAGAGTGTGTGCCAGGCTTTGTTGCCACTTCCTCTTACGATCTGCTATGTATATACGCTATACCACTCAGATGCTGCATCCTACATCTTACATATACATCGTGTATACACAATATAATATGGAGACCACATAGTATAATACAATAGAATACGATATAACAGAGTACAATACAATGTGCTATGATACAGTATGATATCGAAAGCACACAATATGTGCTTGTATGTATGTATATATATATATATATATATATATATGTGCGTGTACATACACATATACATACATATATATATATATAGATATAGATATGTATGTGTCTATACATATACATATATATATATATATATCTACAGATACATGTATACTTCCGAGTATATTCATATCTTTGTAGTTTCATATCTAGAACTATTTATTTTTACCGAAAACCTGTCGAAACGGCCCCTGGTGCCTCGACCTCGAAGGGCTCGTGCCTCCTCTGCGGCCCAGGTGCCGGCCCCCACGGCCCGGGCGCAAAGGAGGACAGCCTTCTCGTACCGGTGAGGGGTTTGGGGTGTGGAGGTTTGGGGTTTAGGGGTCACTCTTATTCTTCGTCTTTCCATACTACTTTTTACACTCTACGAAAACTATTACTGTTATTGTTGAATTCTGATTGGTAGCAGTACTCTTAATTACTGAACTTCCTGGGGTCTTAGGGTTAAGGCCTCGGGTTGAATAAGGGTCTTTTTCCATGCGGGATGAGGGCATCGTTTTGGGCTTGCGACCGGCTAACTACATTGATTGAAATCGCGTTACTGATGAAGTAGTTACCTTTCAGGTACGGGGTGCAAGCGGGATGTTGAAATAATCTTCAAACTGAGGTCGGCAAGCCTATTATCATTACTACTATAATTATGATTATTACTACTTTTATTGTTGTTATTCTTGCTATTTTTGATCACTATGTTAGTATTGCTATTTATGCTTACAAATCATTATTGTTGGTGTTATTATTATTATGGTTATTATAGGCCAGCTCGCCGTCTCAAAGAGAAGAACTAAGGTTGCGGCCTCGATGCGACCTCCCAACCACACATCGGGGTCTGGGCTGGTGTCCTCCTGGCGAGTATAATGATAATCGAATAGAATAGAATAGGAATATAATAGAACAGAACAGAACAGCATAGAACAGAATGGAATCGAATAGAACAGACTAGAATTCGAAAAATAAGAACAGTAGTGATAATAATTGTAATCATAGTGTGAGCTTCGACTTGCACGGCACACAAGCTCAGTGAACTGATGTATACCTGCAAAAGATGCGCTGCTCCGGTTTGTGGACTACAGGGCTACATCGGTTGGTCTTGCCTCCGGATGCCGCGAGATCGCCGGCAGGAGCAAGGAGTTTTCACCCAGCAGGATCAGACGCACATCCTCGACCTCGATCTAACTAATCTAACTGTACGTGCGAGAAAGTCAGCTTTGTGGCAACTCGACATCCACTGCGGATGAGACATCTTTAGCTTGCAACCATGTAGCGAGTAGTTTGTTGACCTGACTTGAAGTTCTGATATGGAACCAACAATCTAGAGCCGAAGGTGAAGACACCGCAGAAACACATCGGAGTGAAACCCCTGTGTGCTGACGGTAAACATCGATGCTGTTGCGACCTACATTCGTATGTGCCAAGCTGACACTTATCATCTTCGGACGAGCTGAAACTGCTGCAAACACCTGGACCTGCAGTTAAACAGCCTTCCTTTACGATTCACGAGAGCTCCATGGTTGAACAGGTGCAACAACAGCTTCAATTAACTCACAGACCTGTGCGTGTGTGTGGTATGTATAGCATTGTATAACCGCAGTTTACTGGAGCCTCGACTTCCGCCAGGCCCCCCACACCAGCTTTGTCCAGGGAAGCTGCGAGAGCGGAAGCAAGGGGACCTCCGTGCAATTCTTGCATTCACTTCAAAAAACCCTAAGTCTGCATAGTAGCCTGCACAGGAACGGTGGTGGCGACGCTCTAGACTTTAACGAATTATGTGTTACGTAGAGGGCGTGACCTTGTAATTCCGCAGACACTCCTTCGGCGCATGGTTGTGCCCTGTCCAAAGTTAGCTACCTTGCAACTTGCGCTCTCCAGCTTTGATCTGAGATTGTGGCAAGTAAACGACCAGCCGACGACAGCCAAAGGCTCGCCCTCCTCATTGGCCGGCGGTTCCGAGGAAGGGTTAGGTCCAGGTAGTTGTCTCACAACGCTGTCTACGGGAGATGAGTCTTCATAAGAGTGGTATCTGCAGTCTTTGGTATGAAGCCTCCGAAGAAGGTCAGGCCTTCGAGTCTCACACTCCACGCGCCCATGCCAGGTTTGCAAGTTCGCAAGCCCTCAGTACTGATTACTTGCTACAATTCTGACCCTGGGAAACACGGAATGCACAAATTATCACAGCAACATTGACAATGATACAGCTGATGAGGCACTGGCTGCAATCAGACTCACAGGGGCAATATTGACGAGGATTGTCTTCTGCTTCAGGTGAAGAAGCGAAGAAGGAGGAGGCGAATCGTCTTTCGATGCCAGGAACCAGGCACACACAGCAGCCTGCATAATTGTCTGTGTATGAATATATTTAGAGCTTAGATACACACATATGTGTATGCAGGCATGCATGTGTAAACAAGCAAAGCAAACCAACAGGCCAACAAATCTGCACATCATGTCTTGTTCGCATGCATGTATGTCCGCATCCATGCATGGATGGATGGACGGATGGACGCGAATACACATGGATGCATGGAGGGATGATGGATGGAAAGATGAAAAGATATATGGGTATGTGTATAGCAGAAAGACAGATGTCATATTAAATTAGGGCGAGGGAGAGAGCGAGAGTGAGGGAGTGAGGGAGGAGTTAGCTAGATTCAGAACGAGTCTTTGATCCGGAGCAGCAGAAGGTCCGCCGAGGGTGTCTCCGATGAGACTTTTTAATAATGGCGCAAAAACCAGGGGGGACTGTGCACGCTCGTGTCTCCGAACGTATCGAGATTTCAGTCGCCGGCCAGCTGGTCTCTGAAGATTTGCCGATGTGCGTTGACCTGCCGAGGCGCCCCGAAATGATCTAGAATAGGGGCCTTGATTTGGTTCAATAGGTTTTGGGGTACAGTATGGTAAGTATATAGCTTATAATCGTAACCGGAACGCGCCGGAACCTTGAGACTGGAAGCGAACCTGGAGAGTTTAGACACGGGACATGAGCCGGCGTCGAAAGAAAATGCAGGTTGCATTCCCTGACGGGGTGGCAGGGCTGTTGAAGACCAGTAGTGCTGCCTTTCAGCAGAGATTTCACTGGCCGGTAAACATCGAGCCCCCGCAGGGGGATGGATCTAAGGACCCAGCCCGGCGTGTATAGAGGTTCACCAGCTCGGAAGATGTCTTGCACTTATAGGCCTCCTGCATCAACGGCGCTGTGGACGAAAAAGTGGCTTGCAGCACTACCGTAGGGGCCTTACTAATTAGAATAGGGTTGAATAGGGTTTTGGGATCCATTATACTACAATTACAATAAGGAACCACAAACATAGTATAGGTAATCATTGAGGCCCCTATATTAGGCCGTACTCGGCTTTGAGGCTCTCAACTCGCTTGCAGTCAGCGGAGCCGCAGGACTGCGTCGGACTTGAGAGACGAAACGGTCTTTGAAATCTTCCCAAGGGCCCGATTGCCAGTTACCGCATTCTGGTGCTCCGAATGTCTGTGCCCGAACTGAACTCGGCTCAGATGTCTGATAGGTCACCACAACCCTAAACACCTAGACTCTATAGACCCTACCTTATGTAGAATAATAGCCTGTTATGGGTACCGGGCCATTATTTTACCTACTTTTGGGGAGGGTCTTATAAGCCTAATATACCAACCCCCCAAACCCTCATCCGCACACCTAGACTCTAGACCCTAAGACCTAAGATCTCACGACTCACCGCAGCGCTGCCTCGTCGAAGAGCAGCGCGCAAACGCTGCAAGGAGCCAGGGCCGCGGCGAGATCCTGACGGCCTCTGGCAACCTGAACCGGACGTCAAAGCAGGCTTCTGAGAATCACAGGGGTTTAGGGTTTTAGGGTTTAGGGTTTGGGGCTTTAGGGTTTTAGAGGGCTTTAGGGGGTTAGGGTTTTAGGGTTTAGGGGTGAGACAGCTTCAGTAGTAACTTACCTTTGGTTAGTAGGGAAAGGAGGAATGGGGTATAATTGTAACTACTATTACTACCATTCTTCCACTCCCTACTAACCAAAGGTAAGTGAAGCGGACGTCAAAGCAGGCTTCTGAAGCAGCTTCAGTATATGGGAGTTTCCGAGAACAGCGGACCCTGATAGAGTACTTTAAATAGTGGGATCCTTGTTGTAGGGACCCCGAAATAAGGTACCCCAATTTTCGGAAACTCCCATATGAGCATTATGACTATACTAACGGTGATATCAGCGCTTTATAAAGGTACTGTAAAGGTGCTATCAGAGTTCCATACGGGTACTCTAGGGTGCCATAGGGTTCTGCAAACCTAAGGAGGGTAAAGATGGGTGGCAAGGATCTTCTGGGGATTCAAGCGGTCCGATGGTCCCCATATTTAGCAACTCTGGTCTGGAATCTGGAAGAACGCCCCGTGCCCAGAAAGCATGGGATCATCGTGTCAGCAGTCGGAACATTGCAAGACAACAAAACCTTCCTTGCGTAGAACTCAAAGAATCCAGAGCAGTTGAGGCAGAGATCCCACTGAATTTGACGACTTCAGCATCTACCCGGGCTGTGCACAAGATGGAGGCAACAGGCCCAGTGATGGCGCCCAGCCCCTGCGTTCTAGCCCGAAATTCCCCACGTGCATAACACGCCTATGCCCTCAAACCAGGCTCGAAACCCAAAGCTGTGGGGTCCAAAAAGATGCAAGTCCTAAGTCCTGTAGGCCCTAACCCTACCTCCTGGGGGCCAACCAGCTCCTCTGCTTCCGGCGGATGCGCTTCCCTGGCTTTCTCCAGGCTTCGGGTTTAAAGTCAGGAAGCATTCTGCGGAGGATAAGATGTGGGGTTTAGAGTCTAGAGTTTGAAGGTTTGCGGACGCGGCGATAGGAGGGTCCAGGCTTTGGAGTATCGGGGGGACTTGGAATGAGCTCTTGATCTCGTATGATCTGTGCATCATGTGGGTTTCGGATGTCTGCCCGAATCTTGCAGCTTGAAGAAGACAACAGGCCATCTCACATCCACAGATGGTACAAGTCATGTCGACCACCCCACCCAATCCCCAAACCGCCTGTCTACATACCTAGTATTCCGGAACACGGGCACCCTGAACCTTGATCTCCAAGCCTTGCAACCCAGGCCCGAAACCCGGAACTGTGTCTCTGGCTTGGGGCTTGCGAGCTCTTCTAAACGACTTCGTATGTCAACGTAGTAAACCGGAAGAGACCTAATCTGGGTTTGGGAGCCCGCTCATGGTCAGATTTTCAATAAATACAGAGCTTATTTCTACTCTCTGCTACTCTTGTCAGAGCAAATCTCTAACAACCGAAACTGACTCTACCAAGTAACCACAATAATCGTCTACGCTTCTTTTGGCAATGAACCCTCCTTAAACCCTGAGCCCTGAACCCTGAATTCCTGGGAAGTTGCTCTAGTACTTGGAGGATCATGGGACTTAGTAAGTAAGGTTATAAGTGCCTTAATTGGGGTTATAAGTATAGTTACCCTCATTATAATCCTAGTTACCAAGTCCCATGATCTTGTAAGTACCCGAAGAACCCACATCTGGACCCCTTACACATCCCCTTAAAGGAGCTCTTTAAGGAACCCCTATAGTTACTAAGTCCCATGATCCTTTAAGTAGTCCAGGGCCCTGGCACCAAGAAGACCCTTGGTCCTGCGCCCTGTCGGAGCACTTGCACCCCACGCACCTTGGAATCATTTTAGGGTTTTAGGGTTTAGGGTTCAGGGTTTAAAGTCGCCTTCCGGGCTTTTCATGCATGTTCTAAGGCGCTTCGACTTTAGTTCATGACTTGCCGCCGGAAGTCCCCAACATCCTCCAAACCCAAAACCCAAAGCCCTAAACCCAAAACCTCAAACTCCCTCAAACCCCAAACCCCTAAACCCAAAGCCCCCCCTAAAATCTCCTAAACCCCAAGCCCCAAACCCCTTAGCGCAAACCGCAAATCCGAATGCGAAGCCCTGACCCGAGTCCGACCAGCTTTGAGCCTCGGGGTCTTGGAATCGCTGTGGAGTTAGAGCCGATAACATACTGACGGAACCTTATGTGATTCGAATAGCCCTTTGGGGTATGTATATATATATATGTATATATGTATATACATTTACATATATATATATATATATTTGTATATATATATATATATGTTATGCTGCACTATACTAGACTGTACTCTAACATAAGTAACATAAACGTCATTCCCAACATGTTCATGGCGGACCTCTCCTGCGCTAGGCGGCCGGCAAAGGGCGCGGATGCCGGCTTCGGGGACGCGGGTACCTCCAGAGTGCTGTCTGCGCCACGACCACCACTTGCTGGGGTTTGAGCTGCACGGATCTTCTATGCGTTTTTTGGGGATACTATACTCTAGCAAAGAAAGGACCGCCCCCAAACCTATTCTAATCATTAAGGCCCCTACAGTATGTGGTTGAGGGTGCTGCTATTGCGCGCAGACTGCAGATGTTCGCAGTGTGGTGGAGCCTGACAGGGTTCGACTCCTTCAACGCGGAACCACTGTGCACCACTTGAAATTATTCCTGTCCTTGAAGCCGGGACCCACCCAAAACCAAAGATAGAACAAATAAAGATGACCCGAGGTCCTGAGCAAATGAGACTCTGCACCAGCCCCACACCATCTAAAACCGCAGCTTTTGGACAGTTTCATGGCTTCGATACAAAGCCCTTGTGGTACCTGGCCGCTCTTCTTCGCCTTCGGCCGCCGCACTTTTCGGGGCGCGGGCGCCGGGGCGGCTGGGCCCGCCGTCACGTCAGAGGCCTGGAGAGTTCTCAGACAAGTTCAGAAGTAGGTTTAGGATTTATAGTCTACTAGGGCTTCGGAACCGAAGGTCACAGTATAATACGGAATTTGGGCATGGAGCACGGAGGGAACGAGACCTTTGTGCAATATTTTGGTGAGCTTTCAAGCTGCACAGGCTTTGGTCTGTGTTTGCACGCAAGAACTAGAACTGTTGCATTTCGAGGTCTGGGCCTTCGCATTACATTTGAGAGAACGCTGAGCTCGTCAGCTCAAACACCGCCACGAGAGACCGGCCTTGTAAGGTTTGTTCGACAGTTTCCACGACGCTGAGGTTTACGACTGTAACGTGCGGGTTCTCTGCTATCCACATGGACTCCATTCGTGGTTTCGGAAGCATCTGTGGTTCTGCGCTTATCATAGCCGTACAGAGGCGGAAGTGTGGAAGCTTCGGAGTATGTATCCACCAAGCAAATCCTCCCAAGTACAGCCTGGAACCTACAGGGAGGTCTGTGTCTGAAGCATCGGTCGACAGATTTCGATGCATCTCCAGGACCAGGGTTTCGGAAGTTGAATCGGGGGCGTGTTCCACTTATACGCACTTATGGTTGTACCACTTTCTCTCTTCAGGCCTGCTCCATCTGGAGCTGGCAAATGAAGCTCACGAGGTCGTGTGGCTTCTCCATCTCCTGGCAAAATATCGAAAATCTACTATAGGGGCATGAACAGTCTTGATAACTATTCAGGCCTCTTTATGGGAGTTTCCGAAAATTCCAGACACTAATATAGTACCCTAAATAGTAGGATCCTTACTATAAGGACCCCCAAATAGGGTGCCCCTGATTCTCGGAAACTCCCATATTACACTCAGCGATCTGTCTTGCAGACCCTGAACCCTGGAGGCGCACCAACCAGTCGGTGAGGACCACATTCACCCCAAAGGTCGCTTGCACGTTGCTGAGGACGAGCCTTGGCCAGAGAACTGGATCTAGGATTTAGCTTCGAGAGAACATCCAAGCTTTAAAGCCTCTCCCCTGACAGAGCTCGACTACCACACATACTGACCCCGACCCTTCACCCTAAACCCGAAGCTTGCCACCATGCAGCGTAGTGCTCAGCGAATCGATCGACTCCGTTAGAGGGCTGTCGAGATGCCTCCACAAGGATCCAAGATTCTGCAAATGTTTGATCACTGTTCAATGCTGCCAACAGACGATAGCGACGCTGTCCTTACCAACAGTTCTTAGATGTTGGTATACCTACTTCGACCTTGACTCCGCTAGCCACGACGACCACCACAACTATAACAACCGCAGCAGCAGCAACAACAACAACAACAACTAACACAACAATGATTGCCACTACACCTCCTACTACTACCTTTCGTACTCACTACTACTAAGACCATGCCGGCAACTACAACTGCTACTACTGTGGCGATACTGCGGCTTCGACGACGACCCCGACTACGACCTACGACGACGGCGACGACGACGACTACTACTACTACCACGGCGACTTCTACTACTGCTACTACTACGACTACGACGGTTACGACGACGACCACCACTACCACGACGACGACTACTACTGAACCATTACGACGACGACAACGACTACGACGGCAACGACCTGGCTTTAGTGACGACTAAGTACTACTACTACTACTACTACTACTACTACTACTACTACTACTACTACTACTGCTACTACTACTACTACTACAACTACTACTACTACTACTACTACTACTACTACTACTACTACTACTACTACTACTACTACTACTACTACTACTACTACTACTACTTGTGCTACTGCTGCTGCTGCTGCTGCTACTGCTACTGCTACTCCTGCTGCCTCTGCTTCCGCTGCCACTGCTGTTGAAGACTGCTGCTCCAGTTTTGTGGTGGTCGTAGTGATGGTGACGATCATGGTGACGATGGTGATTACGATGATAATGATGACGATGGTGATGACGATGATGATGACGATGGTGATGACGATGGTGATGACGGTGATGCTGGCGATGAAGATGACGATCGTGTCGTCGTCGTTGTCGTTGATGATAAGGATGCTGAGGTCATGTTCGAAAAAACCAATCTACTGATAGTCTTTGTGGTAATATCGGCCAGGAGCATGAAGCCAGCCAACATGCAAATAATACGAAATAGCAAAAGGGACCACAATGATGGCCAATATTGTCGGTGTGATTCTTGTTGTCAGCACGTCCATCGTGTTATATCTGCCACCATGAAACAGCGATGTTAAGACGATCATGACCAACACATGCTCAACTTAACCCTGGTATCCTCTTGCAGCTTTTCAAATTTTCGTCTCACTTTAACCATTGCTGGTACCATCATGCTCTCAGTCTTACGGGCGGTAGCTACTCCTGCTGCTGCTACTGTTGATGCAGCAACTGCAGTTGAGAGGGTGCTTGCCGTTGATTGGTGCTGCTGCTATGGTGGCCTTGCTTGTTGATGTCGCTGCCGGTATTGCTGCTACCGTCGTTGTTGCATTTTGGTTGCTTTCTGAAGCTGCTCCATATCCTAAGCGCAGCCAAGCTTCATGGGATCATCGTCATCCCCAGCGACCTTCGGTGGTGAAGCTTCGAACTAGTCGAGCAGGCCGAGATCTCAGAAGCTTTCGAGGGGTTGCTCGCCGAAGGGATCTGCTGAATCCCCTGTGCGGTGATCCCAAGGCGAAAACACGCCGATCCCGAAATCTTCTGATCCCTAAGCCCTGAAAGATCCCCACGCCCCGGTGGATCGATGCGCCGGCCTCGTTCAGCACTGACAGGATCTGTCAAAGAGAGCTATAGGCTACATTTGTGCGAAGGTGATGGGCGACCTTTTATGATCAGTTCTACCGTATCAGCCAGGGCAACCTGTGCCCAAATTGTGAACGAGTTGTTGCTAGTCTTGTCGGGAGATAACCCTTGGCGAGGATGGGACGTCGGACAACATGAAAGCTGAAGAAGAACCGCGGGTGTGGCACTGTGGCAGGTGTAGAGCAGGATTTCATGACACCGGCAACTTGTGACAAGGGTGTCCTAACGACATTTGGGTCAACACACGTTGAATCTCTGCAGGAATCCCTCGCTCTCTCTGTGCTTGTGGATTGTGATATACTTCATCGTAGACAGTTTTTTGCTAAATCACAAGGTGACAGGGTTAGTCAACATGGTGATGATGAAATTACATAAGAATGCACACCACTGCAACAAAGCCTATGATGTATGAAAGCGTATCGCAATGTCGCAGGAAACTCAGGCTGTATCAAGCTCGATGGGAGTGCCCCCCTGAGCCCTCATAACCCTTTATACAACCTATGCCCCAAATCCGAAAAAGAAGACGATAAACCCTAAAGGCCAAACCCTAGCTCTTAAACCCTAAACCAAGCAACCTAAAGAGGCAGTGCATGGGGCCTTCTGGCTCACCTCCTCACGGCTGGGAAGAGCGGGCGAAGCAGCGGGCACCAGGGCCTGCCGAGGGTATCGGGCAGCTGGACTGGACCTAACCCCCCAAAAACATCCACATGTCGGGAGTCCCTACTGTAAGTCTCTTTCCGCAACTGTCCTTGGTTTTTGATGGGCATTCGGATGAATTGAAGGGAGCCAGACGATGTAGTTAATCGCATTGGCACTTCTGGTGCAATGGGCATTCCTCCTTTCCACATTAAGCCACATGGGAGAATGTGAGCACTGAGTCGCGAATGTAGCTGCAACTCACAGCATCCTGGACTTGGAGCATATCCCGCTGCCCTGAACTCCCCTCAAGGCCCACTTTCGGCTGCAACATATATATCCACGACTGCAGGAGTTTCCCAACATCGCCGTACGTACATTGCCGTACATATGGCATCTGGGCTGATGGGGCCTACTGTCAGTCTTCCGGTCGAAGCTTCTGATGAGGAACAACTTATGTAAGTAGCCTATGCCCTTGAAACAGTGGAAATTACATGCTTGTTCCACCTGGTGTGGCTAATGTAAGATGTTGTCCAGCAGTGCTGCTTCGCGAAACTGCCAAGATCGGTTTTGCTTGCAGGACCTCGGCGAGAGTAAGGGGTTACCTTTGAGGGTACTATACTGGCACTTTAAGGGCAACTATAACGCGAACTATAGTGGCTTTAAGTCCTGGTTGCCGGATGCCGCGCCCGCATCGCAACCGAGTGCGTAGGTCCAGATATCGAAATACTAAACACAGTGGCTAGCGCTGCTAGAACATTGCACTGGTTACTGCTCCTATCTGTTGTTCTCTGGCATCCCGAGGGCTCGTTTTGCATACTGGAAGCATCCATGGAACAGCAAAGCCCGTCCAAGTGCATCCCACCTTCTCTTCTGTCGGCCGGGGCTTTCTCCTGCGGCCTGAGTTGCGTGGTTCTGAGCCAAGGACTCTGCATTCCAGGAAGGTACACTGTCGCTACCGTGTACACACAGATGTACAGGCGTACACTTTGTCGGGTCGGACTTTGGTAAACTTTCCAGCGGACCAGTGCCCTTTGCCGCATGGGGTGCTGCTAGACCTTGTCCGTCACAGGTTCACTAAGCTCTCCTCATACAATCCGTTCCCAGAAGCCACGTTGGGACAGTGTGCGGCCAACGACTCAAGTGACAGGGGCCCATTATTCTATATTTATAATAAGGAAACCCCAAAATAGTACTGGTAGCTGTTTAGGCCCCTATAGTAAGTCGGAACTTGAAGCCAGCAACATCTCCGAAAATAGCCCAGCACGCAGTGCATGCCTTCCTTCACTTGAGCCGGCGCTCATTCACAAAACGAGGAAGGATGCCAAAGCATTGCATGTAAATATCTATCAACCAACATTGGTTGCTACACCGCTACTAATCATTCATTACTGTTCAGGACACCATGACACCATCTTGAGCGTCAGCAAACTCCCCCTCCGAGTCGTCTTCGTCCCCGGCGTTTTTTGGGCTTCGATGGCAAAGTTGGAGCTTGTTCCGGCAGGTCCTGCAACGCTCAGAGGGCGGAGCTCCGCCCTCTCATGCAAAAAGGTCCCTGCAGGTGGGAATGTGGTGCAACTTCTCATCGAAGCCTTTGAAGAGAAACTGCCCCTAAACCCCTAAACCACAACCCTAAACCCTAAAGCCCTAAACCATCAAACCCCTAAACCCCAATACCTTGGCATGCTTGTCGATCAGCCCAGGCCGGCCTCCATCACACGCGCGACGAGGTCTGATGCACGCTGCATCTCCTGCACATGATTCTTGCTTGTCAGAGTTTCAGACTCCTTATCGGATGCTAGCACCGCTAGGATGTGATGGTGATTGTCAGCCTGTGAAAGGTGTATAAAGCTCCTGAGCCTGCTAGGTCACCTTGTTTGGCAATTCGTGAATACTGGGACGGGGGACGATCGACTCTCGAGTTCCCTATCTGCTCACTGTAGCCGTCGATAAGTGATATGTGAAAATGCAAGGGAGGCAAGTTGTCGTTGTTCTCCTCCTGCAGAACCCCGATCGTCCAGCCCTACGAGATTATGCTCCAAGCCAGAATTCTGCAGAACAACTCGCGACTCGCCCGTCCATCCAGTCGCTGACAGGGATGTTCACCCCCATCTGCATCTGGATGTTTTGAAGCACCTCAATTTCAGAGGCGCGGGTCAATGGATGCATCTCATATGCATCTCAACCTTCGGAAGGATGCGCTCCTCACTCAATCCGAACACGACGATGCCGAATTGGGCAGCAGCGTGAACATGATGATGATGATGATGGTGATGGTGATGGTGATGATGATGGTGATGGTGATGGCGATGATTGTGATGATGAGGATGGCGATGGCGATGGTGACGACGAAGGCGATGAGGACGATTACTCTGCTGCTTGCTATTGGTGCCGACGAAGGTGATCATGGTACGAGCATTCGAGACCGTGGCAACAACGACGGCAACAACCATGATCATCATGGGGATGACCGTGACGCCTCATCAAGATCTTGATTGCCAAGGCTGATGCGGATCATGGTAGCACCGAAACAACAAGGCGGTTTAGGGTTCAGGGTTTGTGGACTTACGCCTCGAGGCTTCGGCCAAAGTCGCGCCCAGAGAGTCGATCCCATCCTCGTCAAGCTTGAACGCCAAAGCAAAGACAGGAACTTCGGCTGCTACTTGATATAGAGGCCTTTTTACTTCGAATAGGGTTTTAGGGTATATTGTACTATATTTATGATAAGGAACCCCCAACATAGTATTGGCAAATACTAAGGCCCCTATATCATGGACCATGGCAGGTGGCTCTCTACTTAAAGGATCATGGGACTTAGTAACTAGGGTCACAATTAGGGTAACTATACATATAACCCCGATTCAGGTACTTATAACCTTACTTACTAAGTCCCATGACCCTCCAAGTAGTACCATTATCGTAATGGTCGCTTAATTGCATCTTGCAGCAGCACCAGGTTGCGGCACTACGCTCGGAGCTGAATTTCTCCCAAAGCTGCAGACAGCAGAAGGCAAGCTCGCATCTTGAGGTCGCAGATCCTGAATCACCAGCCCAATACCCCTTACTTAATTAATATAGCTCAGATCAAAATATGAACCCCCTGAAAATTCAAGGTATATTCCTGCATTAGGGGGCGTCGCAACCCAAGCCTGGAAGCCCTGAGCCTCCGACTAGAAGCTCGCTCTCCAAGTTCACGGAGTCTTCCGCCACCTGGCCCGGAGATCTCAAGTGCAGGGGCTCAGCTTCGAAGGCTGCAAAATGCTGCTCTTCAGCTAGGACTTCAGTGTAGTCGGTCCGACACTTTCACCAGGCTTGACATGCGGTCTTTCTGCATGCATCCCAGCCTCGGAGAGAATTGCCAAGATCTTCGCGGGCACTTCCTGCACGACGAAATCTGCCCGACTAGCACAGCACGTGCTCAACCACTCGCAACAAGAGCTGCCACGTGCGTCACCACTGTAAGCTGAACCCATCGGATAGAGCCCCAAAAGGCTTCTGGAAGAAGATCCACCTGTCTGGATCAATGCGAGCCTCCTTGAAAGAATCCGGAAGTGCTGGCAAAGCCTCCTCCTGCGCGCAAGAGGACAGAGGCTACAGCCGCCTGCTCCCTATGAAGGGTTTAGCCTTAATATAGGAACCTGATTAAGAAACCTTGGGCCTTTTTTCGGGAGCTCGGTTTTTGAATCCTAATATTTTGGGGTTCTCGGGGCAGGGTTGCTTAGTCAGGTTCCTACAGTAGGGGTTCAAGGTCCCGTCTCACAGCTCAGACCTCCGACTCATCTTCCCACTCATCGCTGTCGCTGTCATCCTGTCAGTCAGGGCCGTGTCTTTTTTTTAGCTTGGGGCAATTCTCGATTTCTGTGCGTCATCCTGGTTTAGGGTTTAAGGTGTAAGGTTTGGGGCTTGGGGAATGCAGGTTCGGATCGCGGAATGGAAGGGTTCTTCGTGACTTGGCACGGACGGTTTGAAGATGCTCGGCTCATCTCATTCAGGGCATCCTTTCCTTCAGAACTCGTGGCAGACTTGCGAGATCAGCAATTGCATCATAGGGCTCCGAACCTGCTGAGCTGGCTAGATCACACACAGACAGGTCATGCAGGCATGCGAAGGAACACGTTTCTTCGTGTAGCGATGTGGTATGTCACAACACACGAACCCTCGCTCCACTCGACTGCGCAATACCTCCTCGTCTTGCGCTTCACCAGGATACCTGTCGTGCGGGGTGCTTGGGAGATTTCCGGCTAGGCCCCTGCGCCACGGACTTTCAGAGTTAATCAAAAGATGGCCTGTAGGGAGAAGCTTGCAGAATCAACTGCGCGCTGGCCGAGGGCCAGTCCTGCTTCAGGAGCTTTATAGGGTTTATAGGGTTTAGGGGACCCCAATTCTACGGGATTCCGGCAGGCGCTCGCCAGAGCTTATGCCGAGTTTCTCGGCTTGCTCCAATAGGCGGAAAGCCCGGAAACAAAGGAGTGTGTGTGGAAACCAACACCACCGGACACGAGCGTGATCCAACCGGCTGGCTCAAAACTATGCTATAGTATACGGCACTAGTTCATGCATCCTATGTTGGATCATGCTGTCTTGTTTGTATCTACTACATTGCATAGTCATAGTGCGCAGCCGAGCACTCTGGCAGTAGTTGCCCCTGGTTGATTCTGATAATGCTCACAATTTTATTGCTATTGCTGTGATGCGTAGGTAGTCACTGTCCTGCCAGCGGACGAACTCTACGCCCTCGAAGGACGCCACCATCCGACCGCCCGGGAGCAAGCAGTCGCCTGGGTCAGAATCATACTTCTGCTGCAGACGAGCATGTCAAGAGCCATCTATACGAACAGCAACTACTGAGTAACTCCTGCAGTGCCACTACATTTGTGAAGCCGATGCCAGCTCAGTGGTTCTAGACAGCAGCAAAAACGATGGACCAGGTAGGCAAGACCTTGTACGAGAGTTTCAGGAAATAGCGGACCCTCAAAAGAGCTTGAGCAGCCGGAATATTCATACACCTTAAGTTTCACAAGACGCCCTGGCCTCTGGTTTCCAGAAACTCCATATGATATCGGAGATCGAACTGAGGGCGCGACCATAGTCCAAAGGGCAACTTACGGCCAAAGCCATGGCTAATCTTCGGGCACGGAGGGCTGCGTTTTTCAAGGTCGGTTGTTGGTTGGCTTCAGGTTAGAGCACCATGTAGGGCTCTCGCAATCATGGGTTTGATGCGCCGTTCTGATACTGAGGGCCACTGGCACTTGGGCTCCAGGGCGCCGGCACGAATGAATTTTGAGTGTCTGCTTTAGATGCCGCGAAATCCAGCTCTCTAATGACTGAGTGTTGCTTCCTACAGCTCCATTTTACTGCTCCTTGTACGAAAGTATTATAAGTATACCAGGACTGGAAGGACATCAGGCTATACGCCCTACATTCGCTTGCCGACGCCTCGAGCCAAAAGCACGCCGACGCCGGGCTTCTGAAGGCTCTATGAGGACTCGACGACTCCGTGTTGTGCCTAGGTGGGGGTCTGTGAGGGACCACCGTTGGGGCTTTCAAATATTGCCTCATTAACAATTTTCAATGCCCACTATTTGGGGAGTTCCGGAACGCGGAATCCCGAACCCTAAATCCATGTATCTTGCTGATGCAAGCGACCTCGCTGCCGAGAGCTGTGCGTGGAATGTCGCCCTCGCCAGCTCGTGGGTCTGCGCAGGCGTGAGCAATACGATTCGGGATTTCGGGGTCGGAGGCTTAGGGTTTCGGGGTGTTGGGCCGAGGCTTTAGCGGTTTAGGGCCTGGGGGCGGTCCGACGGGATAGCATGGTCTTCGTGAGGATGGCACTTGGGATTGTCAAGGCATGTCCACTGACACGACGCCTGCAATGAACCATAAAAGAAGGCCTGATTCCGTGTTCAGTGCAGGAGTTATGATGAACTCTGTGATCAAAAGCTGTTCAGCACTTGTCGACATCATGCACGTCGCTTGCGCAATGGAGCTTTGAGTGATGTATTGTGCATCCAACAGAGCTGCATGTAGTGGTTTTTGGGTTCTCTTCCGAAAAACAAATTCTGTCTCAACCGCCGCTCTTCGGCAGAGAGGCCGCTCGTTTGTACATGGTGCACTACCCAAACCATCCCAAACCCTCACGGCAGTATAGTGTGCTCATGGACCTGCCTAACCTGCCATGTGCCTGGTTTGCTCGTGGACCGTCTCGTAATCAGAACCACAGATCCGCTCCCGCTCACTTCTTCAGGATTCGGGTGCTCTGTCTGGTAGAAGGTCTGGACGACTTGCCGCCTGATGATCTCCCGCCTCAGCAACCACGACATAGAGTCGAACAACAAGACTGTTCATAAATATGGTGACAGACAGCGGCTCCTCTTAAGCTGCGATGTCATGATGACGGCTTGCGCAAAGGTTCGGCGTGGAGTCGTATATATAGCCTACACCCTCGAAGGGTTGTCCTGAGGTTTACACACGAAACACATGCTTTGGGGCCTGAAGCTTGTAAATCATGCTCACACTCGTGGTAGTTTTGCTGTGCTAATTTCTGGCCTGGCATGGCGCTGCCCTGGTCTCCTCTCCATGTCCGATGCCCTGGACATGAGCGCCAACCTCTGGATCTTGGTCCCTCCCTGTGACAATTTAACCCTTCATAATTCTAAGCTTGCAGCTTCGTTTTGATGCTTTGGACGTAGGCCTGGCATTTGGAAAGAAAGCTGCAGTCTAATCCGGCAATCCATTGACCGTCAGCACCAACGGGACCAGAAACACGCCAACAGCAGCAGACCGTAGCAGCAGCAGCAGCAGCAGCAGCAGCAGCAGCAGCAGCAGCAGCACCAGCAGCACCAGCAGCAGCACCAGCACCAGCACCAGCAGCAGCAGCAGCAGCAGCAGCAGCAGCAGCAGCAGTGGTCATAGCAGAAACCGCGGCTACCTGTCTCGGTCACCTCCGCATTGAGTGCTATTGGCGATCAATGCAGCTATTTTTCGTCTGACTGGAGCGGCAGCGTGCAGCTTTGAGGTGATCTGCTTCAGAGCGCAGGGCAGATCACGTCATGGCGGCCCAAATAACTCCCAGAGAAATTCCTGCTCCGGACCTGGGCACCACGGAGCATTGGACTCAGGCATTGGGCTCAGGCACTGGATCGGAGGCTTCGGGTTTAGGGTTTACGGTTTAGGGGGTTCAGGCAGGGGAAAGAGCAAGGAAAACTCTCAAGTCACCAAAGCGCAGAAGCAGCGCCCTCTCAGATCCCAGCTGAGAACATCTTCTGGCTGGTCCTCGAAAGATATCTCCCGCCCTTCGGGCAATATCCTGGGTCGCCGCTGTGATTGGGCCGGGATATTTTTGCTGCCTCGATGGTGTCATGATTTTCAACAGCCCAACAGCTCAACGTAGACGCACGACTATGTGACCACGTGTGAGATACGTGGCCAAGGCCGTTCCTCCGAATCCTTGCATTCCTCACCCCACAGGCCAATGCAGCAGGGGAGCCATCGTGCTCCCTTCGCCAGGGTCCATTCGAATTTTAAGGTCCTCGATCAGTCGATTGCAGCTGCGTGAGAATTTCGCGTCTGTTGGGCTTGGGAGACTGGAAAAGCGTGAGCTTCAGGTCTTGAGGCCGCAGTTCGGGGAAGCCACCTCGGTCCTTCCATCCTCCTGCGGCAGCTCTATCCGGAGCTCCGGTCCATCCAGAGCTGCAGGGAGAGCCTTCAAGGAAGGATGGGGGTTCATGGGTGATTCTTCAGGGTTCAATGTGCGGGTCTAGCCTTGTTGCTGCACATCTTCAAATACTTTTGGACTAATTTGTTGTGGCGAACGTCGCCGCCCTTGGTGAGCAGTTGGTGACCCCAAAACACAACCTGCAGCAAGAAGGGTTAAGAAATATGACAACGACTACAACAACTAACTGTTAACTATTTTGAGACTGAGCATTTTATTATACGCATATACATTGTTCGGGGCCTCGACCCTGCAATGGAGCCGGTCTCCGCGCTCCAGGTGTTGGGTCTCCGGCAGGGCCAAGAGCAAAGGGGACCAGGAGATGTCAACATCGCATAGGGCTGACCTGGTCAGATTCGCAGAACATCCATACTGGGGCCTGAACTGAACAATGAAACTGGGGTACTATAATTATGCGAAGGGGCCTTATGGAATGCGGTTCTGACCGAGTGTTCAGGCCCCTAGCAGTTGTAGTTGTAGTAGCAGTTGTAGTAGTAGTAGTAGTAGTAGTCGTCGTAGTAGTCGTAGTGGTAGCAGTGGTAGTAGTAGTAGCAGTAGCACTAATAGTCGTAGTCGTGGTCCTAGTTCAGCAGCAGCACTAGTAGTCGTCATCAGAGTAGCAGTGGAAGCAGTAGGGGCAATGGCTGCGGCCGTGGTGGTTTTAGTAGTAGTCGTCGCTCGGACGCGAGGCATGTGCATGGGGCTGGAAATGCAAAACAAAGTCAGCTTGTCAGCTGCCCAGCTCATCTGCAGTGTTTTCGCATCGCTCAGCTTTCGGCAGAATGCGCAGGAGCCCAATGTGAACGTTTGTTTGCAGGCCTGGGAAAGTCTTCGTTCATGTTGCTTAACCTGCTGTTGCATCGTGTAAGGGCGCTCGCTTCGACTGTGCAATGCCAATTGAGTGGCCCTGTCAGTATCGGACCTCTGTAGGCTAAGCACGCTGTATGAGCTGAATGCATACGTGCTTCGGCCTGTCACACACAAACAAAACGCATTACGACAAGCAGTGTATTATACGGAGGTACACGGTGTAGAGGTAGGCAAACAGCTGGGCGCTGAGGAAAGTAAGCGCAAGCGACGAACAACCCAACCAGAATCTATAAAAAGTGATTGAACAAAGTCAGCATGTATGTATGAGACGTGTAGGCTTATATGCAGACGAATATACCTGTGCATGCACGCATGAATGTATGTATATGAATATGTATATATATATATGTATATATATATGTATATATATATATATATACCAGGGCCCTCTGTTCGACGTGTTTTCACTTCAGGGACCCTGAGACATATCAATTGTTGCCGAGGTAAGAAAACAGGTAGGTCCACATGCAAATGTAATCGTAGATCAAAGTTCGTGCTTGCAGCAAATGCATGCAAGTGCACATGCACAGAAGCTGCAGCCTAGCCCCGGATGCCTTTCGAAGCACTGGCTGTGGTCCCCGTACAAGTGCAAACGTAGATCAGAGCAGCCGGCCATAGTTCAACTGTAGGCCATCTGCAAATTAAACTAATTTGCCAGCAGCAGCTTTCAACCTCGCAAGTAGCACAGCCGCTCGGACAATCATGCATTGATCAGGGCCGGACGACTGAATCAATAATTGTTGTAGCTCGATCAGCAACCCTGCTGGCCTAGTCATCATCATCCTCATCTGCGGGCAACGGGGCTGCATTTGGCGAGTCCTCCTTCCCGTGGGTTTAGGGTTTAGGGGTTTAGGGTTTCGGGGTTAATAGGGTTTAGGGATTCAGGATTTAAGGTTTAAGGGTACATTTAGGGTTGCACAGATTTGGATAGGGATGTTTGGGCAGGCTGCCCTAGTCCTCCTCGAGATCAGACTTTCCATCGTCTCCGGATTCAGCGGCCTCCACCGTATCCTTGCTGGCCTTGGCTTTAGCCTTCCCCCTTGCTTTGGCTTTTCCTTTTGCCTTCGGGGCACCCTTGTGGCGCTTGGTTCGGCCGTCCGGCCTTGGCTGTTCTCACTCCTCTCTGCTCCCTCCCTGTATCCCTCTCTCTCTCTCTCTCGATGTTTGTCTCTCTCGATGATTTTAAATAGTTCGATCACAGATTGCAGACGAGTTTCTCCGGGTCCACGCAGCCCGCACGCTCGGCTTTGATGCGAGAGTCGAAGGACCCCTTGAGCTTATGGGTATAACAGACGTAGAGGCTGCCGGCCTGTTTGCCCTTCAAGCGCGGCCTGAGCTCCTTAAACCAGTTATTGCCCAAGTCCACACAGTGTGTGGCTTCCACGGGAGATTTCCTGCAGTCAGGGAACGGGGGTGTAGCATTTAGGAATCTAGGGATTAAGGTTTGAGGGTTTTAGGGTTCAGGGTTGATAGGGTTGTGGTTTAGGGTCGTGGGGTTCATGGTAGGGGGGTCCAATGTCTTTATGATACCCTCGCCTTTTAGATCCTCTCTCGGCCCTCAACACTGCGAGCTGCTCCGCAGAGGAAAGCACCGGCTGGGAAGCCTCCTCCAGAACTGCCTTCTGCAGTGCTGGCAAGTCCACGGCCTGCAACGTGGCTGCTAGGGCTCGTCCTGGCTTCTTGTTGTAGGAAACCTCGAACTGCATGGAATCCGAACGCGACAGTGCCTAGGATGTTTAGCATGTGGGAGGCCCTCGGGCTGAACGTATCAATTATAAGATTGCAAAGGGTTTCGGGTTCAGAGTGCGTTTCCTTCGTGTTGGAAAGAAACACCCGGCTCTGTGCATGCAAGGCTCTCGCTCCAACTGCCTTGCGCCTCCTGACTGCTGCTGCTTCGGAGGCGATTGAACACCTGATCCGGATTTGGGGTTTAGCGATATACGAGCTAGATTAGACTCACTTGCATGATCCAGCCTGGGCCTGTACCGTCCTGTACAAGGGTCGAAGAAGCCTCCTCCTGCTCCGACGCTTCTGCTCCATCACCGCTGCCAGGCACTATCTGCAATGCATCACTGCCCTCCTCCTGGTCCGATGCCTCATCACCACTGCCTGGCTCCATCTGCGATCCTGAGTCATTGGCCTCCTGATCATGCCCTCCTCCTTTTCCGACGCTTGCGCCTCATCGTCGCTGCCTGGCTCCATCTGCGATCCTTCCTTGTTGGCCTCCTGATCACTGCCCTCCTCCTTTTCCGATGCTTGCGCCTCATCACCTTTGCCCTGCCATCTGTGATCCTTCGCAGCTGGCCTCCTGATCACTGCCCTCCTCCTTTTCCGATGCTTGCGCCTCATCACCGCTGCCCTGCTCCATCTGTGATCCTTCCTCATTGGCCTCGTCGTCACTGCCCTCCTCCTTTTCCGATGCTTGGGCCTCATCCTCACTGCCCTGCTCCATCTGCGATCCTTCCTCGTTGGCCTCGTGATCACTGCCCTCCTCCTTTGCCGATGGTTCGGCCTCATCACCACTGCCTGGCTCCATCTGCGACCCTTCGCCGTTGGCCTCGTGATCACTGCCCTCCTCCTTTTCCGATGCCTGGGCCTCATCACTGCTGCCCTCCATCTGCAATCCTTCACCACTGGCCTCGTGATCACTGCCCTCCTCCTTTTCCGATGCCTGTGCCTCGTCACCACTGCCCTGCTCCACTTTTGACCCTTTTGTCTCCTGCACTTCTTCCTCCTCCTGTTCCTCCTGCATGTCCTGCACACAAGACGTTTGTGTGCGCAAGCTGCGGCCTCATCCCCAGCACAAGACCCAACGAGTCCTCATCCTTTGCATCGTCTTCCTCGGCTTCATCCTGCCCTTCCGAAGCAGCCTGAGGCAACTGGGTCTATACTACATATGGAAAATTTCTTAGGGAAAACACCACAAACCGAAAGTGTCATTTAGTATAAGAGCTGTAGAGGAACGGCTCCCGAGCTAAATGTCAGTTGTAATGAGAACTATACAGGAGCGGAATGAAGCAAAATGGTGGGTATTGCTATTGCCTAGGTATAATTAATAACCTTGCGGATTCTTAATATTTGAATAGGATCCAGGATGGGTTAAGGATGGCCTCTAGCTCCTCCATAGCCTCCTCAAGCTCCGCCTGGAACTGCTGCGCTTGAGAATCTGTGAGCTGCGTATCCAGCTGGCTGGGGTTCCGGAGGGAAGCACTCGAGCTGCTGCCCAGGGTAGCATATGGTACCAACGATCGGGTTTAGGGTTTGGGGGTTTGGGGTTTTGGGTTTAAGGTTTAGAGGAAACGGTACATCGACCCCATTAATTTGATCGAGGCCTGCGAAGCGATTGTCTAGATCTGACAACTTTCCCCATCATGTCGTTCAAGCGATCTGCCTTCCGTGCAAAGACAACATTCACACAGGAACACAGACACATGTGCAAGGCATAGGGACAAGAGGCCTGAAGGCTCGACCAAGCATCAACTTGAAGGTCAGGCGGACCTAGTAAGTACTGCATGCATGCAATTTAGAATACCAAATGCAGCACCCGAGCTCGAGGCACAGCTGATGATTGTTGTTCATCTCGCGTACAATCTTAAGAAGGGATTGTCTGCTTGGACGTCTTGTGATATTCCTCGGATTGCAAACACCCAGGACTCTGGCCCAGGACCTTAAAGACCTGAACCCTGAACCCGAAAACTTAATTAGTGGACACAATGCACCTTATGCGTGGTAATGGTTGCCTCACAGGTGCGAAGCCAGAAAAGCCTCTTTCAGCCATTGGTTCGCCTTCTTCCTGAGGTCTCCGCCTCAGATGCACATGTGTATACTAGATGTGGCTTGTACGACGCCATATATTGCAACACAGCGAATTCCAGTAGCATGCCAAAGTACCAGGGAGGAGATCGCCCCCACCCTTGCGGATCTTCTTTGGCTGTATGTGGGATACCATAGCATCCATGAGCGCCCTGTTTGGATAGATGTGCATGTCGGCTGCCCAGACAAGCACACATCGCGAATTCCATGACCCATGCAGTCAGGGTGCTTGGCCGAAGCAGGTAGATCATCCTTGCATTTCTTGGGTGGCGGCATTGCCTCGGATTCAGGACTATGTTTCCTAAAGCAGGAAAACACAAAGTGAAAGCATGCACGTAACGACTGCATGCAAACGAGAAGCCAAAAGCTACGCAGCACGATCAAAATGATCGGCACGGAAAATTGCAGGATTTGCAGGAGCGGATATACAATACTGTTCTACTATGTTTGAAGCAGATGCTGTGTAGAGCAGCCGACAACTGAAGTGGAACTATGCTGAGAGTTCAAACCTGAGGCTGCCAGCATGCTTGCAAAAGTGAGCTCCTATACTGCACTGTAGATATTGTCACATGCTCAACTGCACCCCGAGCTTGAAACATCAACAGGCACGGCCAGTGCTGTCGATGCAGACATACACACAAGTCACACAAGGCACTCGGATCC